GGGATCGTGTTCTACTATCTGGCCTCGATCTTGCCTTGATGAGGGCAGCGTGTCCAAAAAGGGCTGTATTTGGTAGTGGTTCAAGTGTTGGACGAGACGTAGGGGAAGACTCAGGATGCAAAGCAGTGTGCTCAAGCAGGCTAGGAAGGTTTGTAGCTTCCTGGATACCACGCTGGTCAGATGTTTCTGGTTACATCCTAAATGTTGCTGCAGGTTTTTGGAGAGTTGTGTTCTCCGCCTGGATCCCAGGGGTCATCTCTGTTTTCTGCTGACTAGACAGACGTGTCTCAGGCCTGTGGGTCAGCTTTTGTGCTAGGAAGCTGATCTCATAGCACAGCGGGAGATGCTTGTTTTTCTTAGACTGGGCTGTCTTCTGTAGAAGTTGTCACCCAATCCAGCATGACTAGAAAACACCATGCTTTTCAGCATGGATGCTAGCTGCTGCTTCTCTTTGCCAACAAGTCTAGCTCGCAAGAAGCAGTCACCAGGTACCTGTTGACCAAATGCTGTAGTCGTCTTGCCTGGTCTACTGGTGTTTTGCTTGCTTGTGCGTTGCTCCTGACTGCGTTGGGGTTGTTAAGGGAAAGTGTTAACTTTTTTCAGCATGACCTTGAGGTCAGTATTTATCCCTCGCCTGTAGCCTGGCTCCAGAGTCGTCAGTGGCCATCTGCCTTAGTCTTCATCACGGGGCCACAGTCCTGGGAGCCGCAGCAAGGCGATGCTGGAAAGACGGACGTGCAAGCTGTTTACAGCGAAGTCGTGAGTCAACAGTGCTTAATGCAGCCAGCTTTCTCGCTGTGTAATACATCACAGTTTTAAATGTTTGTTCTCCTTTTTATTTTGCAAAATAGCTTTACTAGTGAGTCATGAAGCATTGCTGGTGTTCCTGTACAAGACGGCTTATAAAGAGTAGGAACATCAGCACCGTAGTGGAGTCAGCAGTAATTCTCACACCCATTGCAGTGCAGTGCTCTGCCCCCACCTCATAAGCGTGTGGTGACCTCTGAAGCCGTTTCCCTGTCACCTTAAGTTACACCATCAAAGAGAAAACATCCCTGCTCTTTGGACTCCCTTGTTCCTGTGCCAGTGGTGCTCTGGTGCTGGGAGCTGGCAGGAGCAGGCATCTCCTTGATTGTAGTGGTGGTCTAGTAAGACATCGGTAGTCTTCAGCCAGGGTTCAGTAATATTTAAGAGTGCTCTGGCTGGGTCTTCAAGAGCACAGCAGTGTTTGCTTCTGTGGAGGGGCACATTCCCTGCTGGAGGGTAACGTTGGTATCCAGTCAGGCTTTACTCCACTCAATGGTTAAGAAGAGCAGAATTACCTTGTGTGTTTTCCTGACTTTTGTTTGGAAATACGTTGTGCATTACTGGAAGAAAATGTAGCTTACTGCTCTTTATGCCCATGCTGCCAAAAAGAAAGTGTTTGAACAGTGAGGTGTGCAGTTTAAATTTGGAGCAGATACACGGACAGACAGGCATCTAGACTTCAGTATTGTAGAGCAAATTCTCTTCCAGTACAAGAGGCTTTTTTTACTGGGAAGGATAATGGAGTATGGAATGTGGTATGGCCTTCTGTAGTCACCAATAACTCTGCTTCTGAATCTCACCCCCTACCTCTTATGAGTCTGGCTCGATGGGTGATCTGTCTTGCCAGCTCTGGATCAGTCTGTTGGAAGGGGGGATGCTAAACTGGCCTGAATGTGTTACTCTGAGCTATACTGGTGGTGTTGGAGGGTACCAAAGGATCTGCTGGGATGAACTGGTCTCCCTCAAGCTGTTGTGTGGATTGTGTGCTGTGTTTTACAGTATAATTAGAAGGACTCTCCATTTCATAAGCCAGCTAAAATAGTTGAACCTATGCCTTTGTTTAACGGAGGAAGGATGAGTAGTATTTAGACCTTCAAATAGTTTTCTGCTTTATATTTTGTTTGAAACTGCTGGGATTCTTCTGACTTATTTGTGGATAGTATCCATGTTTAGTAATAACCCTTTACTTTGAGTTAGTCTGAAACCACTAAGCTGTATCTGAGCTGTAAAGTGTCTGTTTTTCCAGCCCTGTAGGTAGCTTTGTCTTTAAAAATGTTTTCTCTGAAATGCTACTTGTCACAAAGTATTTTTTCTCGCATTCACTTGTTTGTGGGAATGTACTGACTTGCGTGGATCGCTGTGGAGCAATCGTAACCAGGTTTGCACTCTCCGCACCTGGTGCCTGGCTCCTTCTCTTGTGTCATGGCCACAGCATGTCATTTTTGTGGCTCTCACTCCCTCCCAGGTGAGGGAGTGCACATCTGAAACTTGTTGTGTTGGGTTTTCTTGAGGTTGGTGGGGTACTTGGCAGTGAGCCTGGGACACTTCTTGGTGCCCGCAGCCTGTTTTCATTGCCACTTTCCCATGAGCCCTTGGATGACTGCAGTCATCTCATGGATGTCTCTAGGCCATGCAGTGGAGAAGGCTTGAGGGACTCTGCAGAGTGGGTGGCTGCTGTCCTCACAATAATTCAGGTGGCGTATGCTTTGCTGCTATTCATCTTTAGGAAAGAAGGCTGCTGAAAGTTGGCAAAGAGTTCAACTCTCTTGCTGTGGTGGTTGAAATCTGTCCCTAGCCCATAGGTGAGGCACTCCTAACTGTGGCAGCAGTCTATGTGGGCCTTGGTGGGGGGTATGTGTGTCTGCCTGGGTGTTTATGATCTCCATCTGAAGTCCGGGAAGGTGTCTGAAGCTAATGAGTCTGCTTAGATAACCCCCCTTCTCTAAAGTACGGATAGCAGTACTTCCTTCTGCCACTGGCAAAACTGAGACCCTGAGACACTTTATCATTGGTTTTCAGTGAATACTGGGACTCGTACCAGACCCGAGCATCATCTGCAGGCCTCCTGAGTGTCGTGGTTTAGGCTGAAACCAGGATACTGAGTATGGCAGCTACAGTTACCGCACAGGGGAGTCTTATTTCTCTTGTCCCATGAAGTTTAAAGTACAGAAAGGTGTGAAATTACACTTGTCTCCTGTATTGTTTGGAATAACTGAAAACTCTGCTTTAGTCATTCACAAAATAAAAGAAATCGAATCCAAGACAAAGCTGCACCAGCAAGGGGAGATTTGAGTCTGTAAAGCATTTGTCTGAAATCTGAAGTACTGATCTGTTGCAGATGCTGGCATCTTGCTTGTTCTCAGTATTAACTACCATTAAACCAAACTAAAACATATGTGACATAAGCAAACCTCTGCTGCTGAAATGGCTTCTCGCTGATAAACCAGATAAGAGGGAGGAGAGAAATCCACAGCATGTTTTTGTCTTTGTGATACAACTTAGGCTGTGAGTGAGTTTTTGAAGGATACCTCGAAGAGACTTTGATGTGAGTTGCTGCGAGGAGGGACCATCTGTGGTGTTTTTCTTTTTCTTTTCCCCCTTTTCCTATTCCCTACCTCCCACCTTAAAAGCCAACTAAACATTCGCATCGTTCCCCTTACACTGATTGTACTTGTGTGGTCATGTAACCACAAAAGGAAATGTTTTCCATCAGATCAGTGAGATGATTCAACTCAAATGTACGTACGCTCATGCTATCCCAAAATCCAGCATGAGGGAGGGAGCTGGAACGTGTGGACAGGGAGAGAGAAGCATTGTCCTGTTGCGGGGAGGGGTTTTGGGTTAGATTGGATTAAACACGTTACAAAGTATCTCCCCTCCTTTTGGATCTCTTGAGCTGCATCTCTTACGGGATTGAATTGAAGGGGAGGGAGAAGAGCCGGTCTTCATCCAGAATTTCCCCCACTGGCAGTGGTGTGTAGCTGAGGAGACATCCCGTGGCCAGATGAGGAACAGCCTGAACCATGGCCCTTCTTCAGGCCTCGGAGATGCCTCAGTTCTTAAAGTATTGTCCTCGGCAGTGTCTGTGCTAAGAAACTGGAAATTTGATGAATTCAGAAACTGTAGTCGCCATATGGTTCTTGTACCAAAGACTTTGGATAACTCATCGTTGTGAGGAGGAAATCCTGTGGTGTATTCCCCAGCAGCCTCAGGAGCAGCTCTGATCTGAGCTGGAAAGGGCAAATTGTGTGGAGAGAATTTGGGTGGCTTTACTTTTCCATCATCCTGTGGCTATACCGGGCACTCTGCAGACATTAAGAGCATCTGCCTTCTCCAAAGCACTTCTGATCTCCTTTGGATTGAGCGATCTGTCCTGCCTACTTCTAGAGATCAGGGACCTGTTGTGCGTGTAAGTGCTGTGAAAGCATCAGGAAATAGTTGTTGTCCTGAAGGGCTCAGAGTAATAATAGGGAGAATCTGGGTGGAATCCGTTCAGTTACAGCATACGCACTGCGGCAGAATGACTGTCTTATTCCGAGGGTGTCTCATGTCAGAGCTGGAACAGAAGCGAGTCAGTAAAGGAGGACACTGTTGGAGAAGGAGGTGAACAGGTATTGTTTAGTCATTTAGTGTTAAAGATGCAGAGGCACAAGGAGTGGAATTCAGAATCTTGAAACGTTTGTTTTGCCTGTGTCAGTCACTGTTACTGGCAGGTGTGGGCTTGGTTTTAAATTGTGCTGTAGCTCGCAGTTTGTGTTCCGTTATCACATTGTCTTGCTGATAAAATGAACTAAAGGAAGAAAATAGTATTTGCTAAAATAGGAAGTTCCAAAGACTCGTATCTCCTCCTTTCCCTGTCTCCTGTTAACACTATTGGAGAAGCTCTAGATGAGACGGCCTCCCAGTTAGTGCATATTTACCTGTAGGATTAAAGAGGTGATGAGGTGCATGCTGGAACGAGTGGGATGTAAACAAAGAACAGAAGAGGAGCAGTTATGGATATAAATAAATACCAAAAACTTTTCTGAGTCAACAGGGAGTGAATGCAAGTGGTCCTCTGTTCACATGAATCTCCTTTGCTTTTTCAGATCATTATAAGGAATCGGATTGCAAGGATTTTCCCCCTGTGGCTGCCTGACCACTGCTGAGCTCCCCCTCCCAGCCCATGTGGCTCTCCCCATGCTCCAAGAGTGCAACTGGTGCCCAACGCAATGTGTGTTTGTCAAACCATGGAAGTGGGCAAGTATGGCAAGAACGCCACTCGATCCGGAGACCGGGGGGTCCTGTTGGAGCCTTTCATTCACCAGGTGGGCGGCCACAGCAGCATGATGCGCTACGACGACCATACTGTGTGCAAGCCCCTCATTACCAGAGAGCAGCGCTTCTATGAATCTCTGCCCCCTGAAATGAAGGAGTTCACACCTGAGTACAAAGGTGAGGCCTGTTGTCATTCCAGAACACACTTAAATGCTTCAAGAACCTGCCCTCTCGTTTTCCTGCAGCTACTGTTGTCTTGCTCTCTTTTGGTGTCATTTTATTTGTTAATTTTAATTCTTTTCTGCAGGCTGGAAATTTGATAGGAACACTTGGAAGGGAGAAAGCTGTCTTTTTTTTTTGTAGGCATGCAGAGAATATGCAGTGTGACAGCTGTAGTCTGCAACTTAAGGTTATGGATGTGTAACCAGAGTGCTTTTACTGCCAATTTATTATCAATTATGGGCTTGACCTTGAGCAAATGAAGTTAGATCATATAGTGAGCATTTGCATGTTCCAGTCCTGTAATTTATTGCTTCCTCATCCTGTCTCTTTTATGGACCTGTATCAGAAAGCTGCTGAAGCAGGAAGCATCACTTTCCCAGCGCTGAGGTGAAGCCTTGTCCTCAGTTGCGTTGAAGGAATGGAATTTTCCAGTGTCTGTATCATTGTAGGAGGTTGGCAACTCATCTGTATCTTTCAGAAGCTCGATATGCTTTCGGCCCTGTGCCGTACTCAGGATGGTGACACCAGCAGGAGCCTTCTGGGAGACTTAAGAGTTCCTGTTGCCTCTGCTTCTTTGTCACTGGGTGACATTGGGAAGACGGTGCTTCACAGACAGCTGGGACCACCATCTGGTCAGAGTCCTGCCATTTGATCTGGCTGCAGCCTGAAGGTCTCAAAGCGGTGTCAGCTTACCCACCTGTGCCTGTAGGCAGGTCAGGAATGAAAAATACAGTCTCCAACAGATGGGTCCTCTTGTACCTTCAAGCCACTCTGGGGCCATGCGGTGCTCTAGTGACCCATCAGAAATCTCAGCTGATGGCCTGTGCAGTTACTAGAATTGATATGATGTGAGGCTTTCCTTGGGAGATGTGTTTAAAACTGATGAAGCTGATGGTCCAGGTGGACACCTCTCTTCTTGAAGTCAGATGCTTCCTAGTAGCCTAAAGGCGTAGGATGTGCCCCTCCACCCCAGTGTAGGATTTCATTTGAGAGTCCCATGCAGTTTCCTGATAGTCTCAGAAATTGTTCCTACTGCTCTGGGGCAGAGGAATATTGGGGATGATATTTCGTGTCTGACCACTCAGATGTTACACTAAGATTGCCCTGTCACAGAGATATCTTGAGGAGCACATCCAGGCAGCCAGAGCACTCGGAGTGGCATTTATGTAGTAACACGCTGGAGTCCTGAACTGCTCTGAAGTCGTGTTGAGCCGCCTGAACCTTGTTAGCATCGTCATGTGCCGATAAGGAAAAAGGAAGGACAGTAACATGATGGCATGTATCAACTGAGCGGTGCAAGGTTTCCTCACGTTTGTGATGAGTCATTTGATTCGGTGCATCTAGCATCTGATGCTCCTGGCAGTTATTCAGTACTGGGGGCAGGCTAATGAAAGAATTTTGTCATCGTAAGTTAATGAGGCTGTCAGCCCATCTCCTTTCAGGGCTGGGGAAGTCACAAGATGAAGATGTCAGCCTAGCTAGAAGCGTCAGCTGTCTTGCTCTGTGGCTGGACAGCTAGATATATTCAGTCTGTGCTGTGAAAGATCTATAGCTTTCCTCGAACTATGGTGCTTCCCAGGAGCCTTCAGAAGGTAAAACTGGACAGGACACACATGGTCCTGCTTGCCTGCACCTGGCTGAGGTAGTTTTACTTCCAGGGCCCTCTGTTTTTTATTGCTAGGAGGCCCTGGGATCTTGCAGATCCCTTTTCTGTGAGACTGGCTGACTGGTGATAAGAGTGGCAAGTGTCTGTCACCTCAGCCTCGGAGCTCCATGCTTCGTGGCTCAGATGCTGGAGCACTCCTTTAGCAGAGAAAG